GGAATTCAATGAAATTCATCGGACCAAAGTTGAACAAAAGAGGTCAGATTCGGAAGAGATGCTATTGTGCTCTGTTCTCAAGAACAAAAATGCTCCACAAATTCAGGGAGTTGCTAGATGCTATCTAAAGAAGCACGAAATGTACTTATAGGATGGGAATCTTGTGGACCCAGAATCATCAAAGCATCGTTCAAAACAAATAAGGAGGGAATGACAGTGAATGATATCCAATATTACGCACTAACCACTGACAACGACGAAGATAAAGATAATTTCTACGAGAGTCTGCAGTCGAAAGTAGTCAGGAAAAGAATAAACGGTCCTGATGGGAGACCTAAACACCGAAGTCACAGAGGACAACACCGACTATGAATATACCTTGGGACAACATGAACTAGGAGAGAAAAACCGAAATGGGGAGAAATTTGCAAACTTATGTGCATTCAGTAAACTGGCTATAGGCTGCACAATATTCCCACATAACCACATAAACAAAGCTTTATGGGTCTCACTCGATCACACTACGGAGAATCAGAGAGATTATATTTGCATCAATAAGAAATTCACAAGGTCAGTGGAAGACGTGAGAACCAGGGGAGATGACAGCTTCAGATCACCACCTGCAGCTAAAGAAACACTGGGTAATTGGGGAAACAGCATTAGGTAGGTTCAATACTAACGAATTCAACGTATTAAAGATACCTCTCAACAACAGCTTCCAAGCCTTATAGGATCTACTCGGAGAAGAAACTACTATGGAGGACAACCGGAAAGGCATCAAAGGAGAGTTAACCCCAACGTGTCAGGAGGTTCTGGGTCGCGAGAAGCATCACTATTGGGAACGGATCTCTATGAAAACCCTGGACAAGATTCATTAAAGGAAGAACAGGGAAACATCGATTAGAAACAGTCGGACAAGGGCAGAGAAAGTCAAGGTACAGGCCGAATACACGGAAGCAAACAAGCAAGTGACGAGAAGCATTAAAGACAATTAGAAATACGTGGAAGAGCTAACAACGACAGCGGGAAAAGTTGCAAGTGAAGGAAATATGAAACAACCACATGACACAGCAAAGACGCGGGTAGGGAAGAGTAGTAAGACAGACAAAACGGTCAAGTATAAAGAAGGCAAGTCAGTTACTTAGATTTAGGAACAACGAAACAGGTGGGCAGAACACTTTAAAGAACTCTTAAACAAACATTCCCCACTGAACCCAGCTCCATTGAGTCCACTGGACATCGAAGTAGCGCAAACAGACCTTCCTATGGATGTCACACCACCAACGACGGAAGGAATGAGGATGACCAATATCTCACGATATACCAGCTGCAGCAATGAAGTCAGACATAGAAGTGATTGCAAGTATGCTCCACGTTCTATCCATGAAGATTTGCGAGGAAGAACAAGTGCTGACGGACTGAAAAGAAGGACATCTCATCAAGACACCAAAGAAAAGAAATCTGAAGAGGTGTGAGAACTATAGAGGCACCACACGACTGTCAGTGCGAGGAAACGTTTCCAACAGTGTTGCTGAACCGGATGAAAGATTCAGTAGACATCCAGCCTTGAGATCAGCAGTCTGGATTCCGTAAGGATCAGTCGTGGACAGACAAATCGCGACACTAAGGATTACTTTTGAATTCGTCACTACACATCGACCTCCTTGACTGTGAGAGTGTTTAACAGCACGGATAGGAGAATACTATGGGATGTTTTTCGACATTATGGTGTTCTTGGGAAAATCGTCAATATCATCCAGAATTCATACGAAGGACTACGATGCGAAGTCATGCACAGCTGACAGAAGTATTCTAGGTGAGGACTGGAGTCAGACGAAGCTGCCTACTCTCTCCCTTCTTAGTTCTTCAGGTGATTGACTGAATTATGAAGACCTCGACATCTGAGGGAAGCACGAAACACAAAGGACATGTTGGATGCAACTAGACCATTTTGACTTTACAGATAATTTGGCCCTTCTGCCCACACACACGAACGAATGCAAATGAAGACAACTAGTGTAGAAGCAGTCTCTGCAGCATTATGCTACAAAATACATAAGGGAAAATTCAAGATCCTTTAATACACGGAGAATACCAACCTTATAATACTTAGTGGATAAACTCTGGAAGAGTTGGAAACGTTTACGTACCTGGTTAGCAGCATCATCAGTCTACAAGAAAGATCCGATGCAAATGTATAAGCAAAGCGGGGGCAGCATTCCCACGAATATCGTGGGCCCATACTGAACCACACTAACAAGATACAGCATACAGATGCAAAGGAAATGCGCGAACCATTTAAAGACTATATTTATTATTTTCTCATGAACGTTTAGTTACTCGTTCCACGTAGAGACTGTAATCCCATGTACACGGAACAGCTCGATTGTAAGTTATCACAGGTTGCTAAACTTATCGTCTTGTTTGATTACTCGAAATTCTAAATTCACTTACAGAGAAAAATCTGAACCTCCTGGGTTAAATTCACCAGAAATTTACTCTACAAATTACCTCTCAAAACCACGTTATCACAGTTAATTGACGGTGAAAACATTTGCTCAAATATGACGTGTATCTGACCCTAAATGACAATAGGATCGACTAGGAAAAAAATAAACCGATAGGATTTCGTAGTACGCAGTTTTGCATTAGAAAACTTATAATTGAACTAACAATACTATTCAGATTAGTGGAGAATAACTACAGAGAATCGCAAACACATTCGGCTCACTATGACAGTATATGTTTTCATATCTTCATTAAGTCTCACACAGCTATGCATAAAAAACATTTTACTTACACTGTAGATAATCATATAACATCCTGTTCAAATTATTTTTCCCATTAGCTTTACACATTCAAATACTAAAACCATCAAAGTTCTCTACAAAAGTATTCTCACTAACTAGATCAAACATGTCGATCGAAGTACTTTATCCAATTCAGTTAAAAAAATACACCACATTATTACAACAAATGGATTATGGAAAATGAAGTTATTTTAATTCTCATTTATTTATATGGAATCACAGAAATTCCGTAGTCTTCCTGAAGGAAAAGACTACCACCTTTCGAAAATCTGGATGAATACAAAGACTTCTATAAAAATAATAGTATTGAGTGTCGTCTATGCAACATAAATTACCAAATCTTTTTAAAACGTACTCTAGTAGACATAACTGAACCAACGGAGGAAAATGTAAGACACTGTGAATGCAAGTAGAGGTAATGTGCCGTAATGTTCTTCAAGCAATTACCACTTACTGAAGAGCAGTAAAATTGTACAAACTCGTTAGACATAATCTACATTATGAGCCACATAATCTGTGGTTGAGATTGAGAGTGACAATCATTTAAAACACCACACCACTATTCTTGAGCTTTTATTGTTTTATACGTATGGAAACCTCAACTCCCACGTCGATAAATCAGAATGATCTGATCCACATGTAAAGGCAAGGATTGGCAAATCAAGGGCAACATTCCTACAACTGAAGAACATATAGAATTCGAAGCAAACTCAAGCAACAAATAAATATATGGATTAGTGTTCAACGTTCGGTTTATCGAAAAAGCACTTGCAATCGTCTTTACTTGAATTTCAATAGATTCTGTCCAATCAGTTGTAAGAAAGCGTTAGTCAACGCACTATTTTATAGAGTAGAAAAGATACGTACCACCAAGAAACTGGAGGAAGAATTGAGGAACGTTGAGAAATACCTGTGAGACAACTGCTGCTCACGGAAATTCATCAAAAAGTATAAAAGAAAACCCGAAAACAACAAGACAGATGTGACCACAGTCGATAAAAAACCAATATTTATGAATCCGAGCTTCAAAGATGAAACGTCGCAAGCACATTCAACACGAAGCTTATCACTGAGTTAGCAAGCACCTACCGTGAAACCAAACTAGTAATCCTGTATAAACCATGCTTAATAACCCGATCTAAGGTCGACAAGTAACCCTTCGATTATACCATCAATTGTGTCTATAAATTTAAAAGAACTTGTCGAAGCAGCTACATTGGGCGAAAACAGAAGGTATACATTAGATTTTATGAACACGTCACGAAAAGCCTTCAAACAACAGAAAGAACCACAATCACTAAACGTCTATTGAACATAGGAACAATCAGTGTGTTTTATTCCTTTGTGGAGATTCGAATTTATTTAGGTCATCAAAATTTGCAATCACTAGACGGCATTTTGGCTCGTATCAGTGAAACATAGTACTATAAGCAGGTAGGAAATAACAATAAATGTGAGTTCTGTTTACCCCAAACACTTGCATGTATAAAACAAATGTGTAAGTTAAAACACATTGCATTACACTCTTATCATCACTTTGAATTCTGATGTTAGTCAAGAATTCAATGCGCCCTATGATTAAAATTGTCCAGATAAGCAGATGGGATTCGAAATGACAAGTTAATTCCTATCTCACATCTACACTAAGGTTCACACAAGATTCAGAAGGGCTACACTGAACTGATTAGGCGCGGATCAAGCATTACGACAGCCTTCGAATAGCATTTCCCATTCAAGTAAAACTGATCTCAAGAGTGACAGACCGATTTCATATCAAAAATTGTTTCGTATCCACTGATTGGAAAATGCAACCTTCAACATGATAAATATTTCGATTCTTTCTTCCTTCCGTTCCATAAAACCTGTAACAAAATATTTCATTGACGTTGTAGTGAGGAGCGGAAAATGAGAAAACCACTTTCCTCAATAGTATCGTCTAAGCATTTGAAGAAGACCAACAATTAAGTCGAGTGCGACCATGGTATTTATGAATAATCTAAAATGCACATCTAATATATAATTCCTGCTCGATCTTTGATAAATAATACCATTTGCCGTTAAATGATAGAGATACTCACATTTATTTACAAATGTAAACCGTGCACTAGTAGATGTCTTCGCAGAAACTAAAGAACTATTTTTCCAGTCGTTCCCTGCTGTTGTTTAGGTCTATCTATCAAAACAGCTTTCCACCCCAACGGAAGAGACTTCATCGACAGTAGTTCATAGCTTATGAGAAGAAAACAGTGTACAATAAAAAGTGACTTATATAAATTACTGTGAAATATTAGTCATTTAAGCAAAATGAATAAAAGGACTCCAGAAAATGTTTTACTGTTTCGCATAAGTAAGACTATGACAGTTTATGAGCTCAGTGGTATTTACATGTCATTAATTTAACACAGCATTTAGTAATAAAGAATATTTTCAAATTCTACTTCTGGATAAACGATACCCATTCGTCGATAAGTGCTTCCGAAGTTTTCCACACATGATCGCAAATTTCATCATTTAATGCTTGGGAGTTACATCTGCGTGGCCGACACTCAGAATAAAATGCACCAGGAATGAGATTGTTATCAAGAGCACAAAATACTGTTGTCTGAGCACCTTCACGGGATGTTTTTGTCAACCATCGAAATAAATATTAGACTAGAAACTAAAATTAAAACAAATCTTAGTCGAACAGTAAAAGCTAATTAGTTTACAAATGCGCGTCAATACATTATAAATTCTCTCAAACACATGCATTTCATCACATATTAATCAGTAAAATCGACGTAAACAGCTTCACTGTAACAGTTCCGAAATACTGTCTTACATTCTACGATAAACAGGTAGATGCATGCACACGAGTACGCAGAAACAAATTGACCACTTATTTACCTTTCAACAACTCCATTTATATTACTATTTATTCAAGCACACAAATATTGTTACAAATGGCGACCAAAGTAGATGTGCGTTACACAGATAAGACAATAAGATTGTGAAGTAAAAGAAGGAGAGGAAGTATGACCAATTAAGTAAATGGCAGTAGAGGAGAATAAATTATGATAGGAGAGACGGATCAATTTAACAGATCACAATTAGAACTTTATTTATTTATTTATTTGAACACATAGATATTGGTACAAACGGGCACCAGATACATATGCGCCACACGAATCTCATTTGATTTGTGTGAGGGCTGTGATACTGCCCGGGTGCCCAAACATAAGAAATAACAGTGTTCAGATGAAATTATACGGTTTTCCGTATCATTTAGGAATATTACTGTTGTCTAGCATTACATAAAAGAAACGGGGAATTCGGTGGAACTGGTTACTTAGGTTGTAGTTGCGCGAGCATTTTGGATTTACAAAGAGACCAGTAGCTTGAACTCAATCAAAGTGTCTATTCCACAAATTTTGAGCATTCCTGAAAACACTCAAAACTATGAGGAAGTAGGAATTCCCTTTATATTCAACGTTGTTTGTAAAACATTCATCGAAAGAATTCCGATTCAAGTCTTCAATTTGTATAAATTTCACTAACAAACTCATTACTTAATCCTTGTCTAGTGGTGATCACTTCGTCATCTTTTCATTCTTCGGTAACCACATTTATTTACTATTGCTGTGCTAACTGTACGGATAGAGTTGAAGCCAACGTCATCATCAGCTGTTTGGTAGTAATCTTCGTCAGGTTTCGCAACATCACAGTTTAGTTCACAGTGGAGATCAGTTAACTAAACCTCAAAAGAGAGTTTGTTTGAGATTGTTGCCGTAAATATGGAATACTTATGTAATAAACATTCGGGTCAACATAAACAGGCATCACTTAAACACACACGGTATGTATAAACAAGGAGTTCGCTTTATAATCAAAGGAAAAAACACTGGATATAACACATAATACGAACATCAACTCACATATTTCCCTTTGCATGAACGAAAAATGGATGTTCTCACTAAGCCTGGATGAACGCTGACTGAAATAATTCCATCTTCAGACCAACGTTTACAAATCTCACGTGCATGAATCACATTTAACAGCTTACTAATAGCATAACCAGAGCCTACACCTGACAAGAATCCGCTATTCGGGTGTAATTTAGCAAGCCAATGTAACAAAGATGACAGAATGATTACACGACAAGGTTTCCCATCAGATGCATGCAAACACGGCTTTAATAATTTAATGAACAGAAAATGACCCAAATGATTCACTTTCAAGTGTTTCTCAATTCCAAGCTCATCGTAAATCTTCTCTGGAAAATCTGCCCCAGCATTATTAATTAAGATGGAAATTGATTTTTCTCTACTAATGATACGATTCGCAAACTCTCGAATAGATTTTGGCGACTCCAGATCCAACTCTTCACAAATAAGCTATTGAAAACGAGATAATAATTACAAGGTTTACTCATGTCTCAATAACAATCTTTCAACAAACAACTTTAAACAACAAATAACATCGACTAAATAAAACCTAGGGAGTCACTGAAGATGGTAGTGGAGCGGTGAAATAGTGGTTTAAGCACTCGAATTACAGACAATACATAACAGGTTTGGATCCTGCTCCATCTAATTCCATCTGGGCATGATTATCATGAGTAAAAAAGCATCACGTTAGTAAAACAATCACAATTAACATACTTGATCTGGTTCCAGATGAACACTCAACACTGATGGCTTCTCATTACAAGTTCTAGTCAGAAGCTCCTGTCGAGCCAACTCGCACTTCCTTAGATCTCTGCATGCCATTATAACGCGGGCCCCACGGCGAGCCAACTCATCCACCGTTTCTAATCCAATACCAGTATTGCATCCCGTAACAATAACTGTTTTACCATCCAAACGATCTTCAAGAGTACACTCACAATGACCGAAGTATTTTCTCTTAATGATATACAATGTACTAACAGCAACAACAATCCATATGTACGGACAAAGGAAACATACAGAAACATAGGAGAACAACTGATCCATCCTCAAATTTGTTCTTAAAACTGAAACAGAAGTTCAATTATCTATATTCACTTTCAAACATGTAACGTAAACATAGTTTTTATAACAAACAGACAGGTTTCGAGAATACTTGGACTGATTGCTCGATTGTCGTGTCTATGTTAAATGATTCAAACCCCTAGATTGGTCCTCGTCAATTCAAGCCCCGTGTCACCTAGACGAGATATTTATCTGCCAGCTAAAGAACCAGCTTAACCCATAGCACTTCTTTGTGCTGCTTAATTGGTGTGAGACGTGGTCACCAAGAACAGAGGATATTTCTAGATTACTAGTAATTGACCACAGATGTCTTCGAAGCACCTATGATGTATTTTGGGATAACTGACTGAGAAATCGTGGGGTTATGTGTAGGCTACCAGGGAAGATGGTAAACCCATCGATGATGTAGTGAAATTCCACAGATTGAGGTGATTGCAACACACTTTACGTATACCTAACTACCACCTACCTCGGTGAGTGATTTTATCTGACGCAAGAGTAGACTGAGAGAAAGCTAAGGCCCACTACAAGACGTAGCACACTTCTATGAAGTCATTGACAAGCGGACTGAGTTATGTTGAAGGGTTTAGGATACTTGGTTGGAATCTATGCGACCACTATGTTAATGTAGTATGGCGACTCGAACCAAGCGCCTTGCTTTCATGAAATATGTTATCGATATTGGTAAAGGCGATATCACTTTCAAAATATGAAGCTTCTAATCCTCCTCTACGTTTCTGGCCTCTGTACCTGCTATCAGTCTGGAGTTTTCGAAATTGAGTTTCCCATGGTCAAGAAATTGGGTTTGACAAGTATCTCTGACTGTAAGTGCACCCTATCTAGTAGAGTTTGTCTGTACGCCTAGCTCGTCTCAATTTATTCCCGTTTTACAGTACTCAACATTCGGACAGTTGGATATCAGATTCAGCAGCCGAATCTGATATCCATCAGGCGAGTCTGGCGATGTTTGTATATGCACTTCTCACAGGGTGACCTCAGAAACATACTGCGGCCTTAGTTGATTAAGTAGGCCTTTTATGTCTAATAGACTTCTCTAACGAGGTTACTCGCATACATGTCCAAAAGAAACTAGTGGTTATGCTATATTTCGATATTAAGAAAGCTTTTAATAAAGTACTTCATAACCTCCTAACAACCAGACTTCAGTCAACTGGAATTACAAACACCCTATTGCAATAGATCAAGTCTTTTCTCACAAACAGATACCCATTAAATAAGATTAACTCTACAACATCTACACCTCGACCAATAACCAGTTATGTTGTGCAGGGTAGTGTCTTGGGTCCATTGCTCTTTACAATCTACATGCAAGTACTTTAGCACAGGTAGTACCTACCTCTACGCTGATGACCTAAACGTCATCTAGAAAACTGACATTTGCGATGTACGCAGTACTAAGCAAACAATCCAACACCAACTCATCATGGTAGACGACTGTTGCAAACGCTGGAGGTTAGAGCTCAACACAGAGAAATGCGGCTGGTTATGCATGGGAGACACGTCTCTTAAAATAAAACAAGCATTTAAAAACGACACACTGCCCAGACTGGCATCAGTAACTGGCCTAGGCGTATGTTACTCACACAATCTTAACTTCTCTGAACATGTCTCAACTAAAGCATCTAAAATGCGGAAATTGCTTGGCTTCACTATTCGTAATTTGGTTCAAAATGAATCTAAAATCATTCCTTATATAATCTGTGTAAGACCTTTCGTTGAATATTGTTCGTTCATATTTTCCAACCTACGCCCACCTGATATGTATGCTGAGATTGGATCTGGTGTGCAACGTGAACACGATGACACTTTGGAAAATATTCTAATGACTACTCAGTATACCTGAAGGAATGAGCTGATATTCACTTTTATAGATTACATATATTTAACATGCATACTGTGAACCAATAAATGTGGTAATTTGTAGATCATGCGTGTAAACATGGCGTGTACCTGACCTTGCAGAAATATATTATATCTATTAACCAATGTTGTCCCAAAAACCAGTTTTGAGCCCACAGCTCCCTCTCTCCCTGGCTCCACGAATGACTCTACAGTCTGTCATAATAATCAGTCTTCAGTTCCTCAACTACTGTTGAGCAACTCCGCCTCACTTTTTTGACATTAGGTAGTTTCTTACTCCTTCCAGTGCCCATTCAGCATTTTCACTGAAATCGCAAACAAAGTTCTGTTCATCCAGTTTAGGACACTGATGAATACTCAACTGTTTGGTTGGTCATGTCATGTTGTCTCTTATTTTTCCTACTAAAAACAGATGTACATCAATAAGCGGGTTCGCTGGACGTTTTGTTCACCATCTCATTAGCCTCTGCTAACAAGCTCGTCCCATCTGAGCAGCACTGTTGACACAATCACATGCTTCCCAGTCTTCTACACCTCTGGGAATTTCCAGCTGTTGTGTTGGTGCGGACGTCATGGTATCACCCTCCGCACTCATCACACCACAAACCACTACCCACTGCGCACAAACAACCTGTCAGATGACAATCGCTTCTATGAAACTGTGTGGCCACTGCTCAGAGATTTTCAGACAACTTCGGAAAGAACAGGTAGAGATGAAAGCTGCTGCTCGGAGTAGACGAATAACTGTGAAATGTTCAGATCAATCAACTCGACTAACTAACAACATAAATTACTGAGTTGTATATCTGCCTGTTTCTGACAGTCTTCATATTATGTGTATTACGTTGGAGCCTCTGAAAATTCCTAGCTGATATTTAGGCCTGATGAACAACAGGAATCCATGTTGTCGAGTGTCTAGAAACTGCCATTGAAACCTACTGATAGGCCTCGATCACCTTTTGAAAGGTTAAGGATGAAGAATTCCTGGTTCAACTAAACATCAGGAATCAAGCAAACAATGGAAATTTGACATGTGCTTCTAATAAAGTGTTGGAAGTGCATATTACAGACAAATGAGCCTCGATAGGCCAATCAATGCAGAGCTCAGTACAAATATGCATGTATATGCTCAAAATACAAAAGTCTTCATATGATTTTAGTGTTGCAATGTTTCGTGTGTTTCAGCAATCTGCAAATGACTAGCAGACAACCTACGCTCCTAAACTTCAAAAAATAAAATCGAATTTTCCGAGTTTGTAAACTATTTCAATGTTTCCCGACAGATAATGTAGATCTGAGGCAAAGCTGCGACCGTGTTGTGTGTGCGTTGTGTACTAGGTGAGCAGGTAGAGTAGTGTGAGTGGAGTCGTCTGCAAAGTAGAGAAACAGGAACGAAATGTGACTTGACGACCCGGCAAGCACACACAATGCACTTACTTTCAATAAGAACTCTAACGAACAATAATCAGTAAGAACACAAGCCTCAGATTAATACAATCTGGGAGTCGAAACTAGTAGCCGATAGTTTAAACTGCTACAATGCACTTTACTTGATTCGGTTGGGCAGCGAGGTTGAATTACTGGTTCATATAAAAAACAGCGTAGCTCAAAGCCTACTACACAAACTTGTCAGTAACCTACATAGTTATCGAAAATATTAAATCCTACTAATCAATGCAACTCTAAAGAATTCCCGAACGGTTGGTTTCACATAGTTCTCTTGGTAGTTGGTGATATACACTGAAAAAAATTATTAACATGAAGTGATACATTACAAATGATTCTCTTTCACCTTATGACCATGTTTATACATAGCGACAATCACTAGTCAGACAAATGCAAAAGTATTTAACAACTCTTTGAGACAATATAGGAAACCTCACTCAGTAGGTGCTAGTCACCATTGCTTGTCGGAATCACTTCTAATTATATGCCTAGAGGCCGTCTAAAAGGAAACAAAATAGCACACCAAGGCGGTATATATGCACAGTTTATCCAAGAGAATAGGAAATATCAGAAGGCTCTTCATATTAGTCAACCAACCAAAACACCGTTTTATGTTTCCGGCTTATCTAACGTCACTAACATAGTTAATGTCAACAACGAGTGTAAAGTGAGTCGAAAATAAAGATACTCAACATTCAAACAAGGCTTAATTTGGAATATGGCATTGCGAACTGAATAACAATATCGATTATAGGAAACCGGTGGGATACATCGCCGAAGTAATTCCGAATAAAACATGGACCGAAATGCGAGGGTGAACTCAAACCGAAACATGTAAAATGCTCGTGATTCCTATCAAATTCGTTCCAGCCTCAACACACCTCTTGTACGCATTTTATGTTTAGTCCCTTAAAATTCCTAACTAAGAGCTAGACCAGCTAAAATGATGCCTGTTAGTACGTTAATTAACTGCACGAAAGTATATTAAAGCTTAAGCCTTGTAATCGTAACCCATGACTTTCAATTTATTTCGTATTTCGAAAGTATCGGAATGAAGTGCAAAATTTGGTGTAGTTGTAGTGAACTTACTGATAGAATTAGGATCTAGGCATAAGGCGTTCTATAGTCCTATAGGGCTAGGTGCTATTGTGCAAGCGTTTAAGAGTTGGGATCTATGGTGTAGGAGTTTGGGGACAATAAGATAAGGTCTTAAAGATTGAGGGTTGAAAATCGGGTTTTAAAGAGTGTAAAGCCATACGCCTTGCTAGCATTGGTTGAAACAAATAAAGAGAGAATTGAAGCAATTTCCGGGGAATCAAGAGCTCTTATACGTAAGCTACATTTCGACTGGCTACTTTTGAACAAATCGTCAAGGTCGTCCAGGAAATCTCTTAAGGTCGTCGGTTTAGTGTAGTTTAACCCTTCCTGACGTCTCGGACTAGTGTGAGTTTATAGTTATCGCATGACCCGAGCTTCAAAATCTGTGGAGATATGACTGACAAGCTTATTTTGTAAATGGTTTTTAATATTATTTGTATTTGTTTGTCAATTTTTCACTGTATGTACATTCATCATTAAATGACTGTACGTGTTGTTTTACTCAATGACCTTGAACACACTTTCCGTTGAGCTACTACATAGCGTGACATATTCTTGCTGGTTAACAAATACATTACTACTCACGCATTCCTCGTTCTATTTTCATTTGTGATTGAGTTAACAAAAGTCTAAATCAAATACTATCTACATTTATAGACTATAATCGGAATATATCACATCCTACGTTGGACTATATCGCTAGAGTGTTCGCCAACCTGCTCAGAGTCATCAAGCATTTATAATTGTGGATTTACATTACTGGACCTAATCAGAACACGCAACGTTTGGGCAATTTAAGTAACGTCCTTAATTATTATTGTATTTGTAACAATTAGTTGTATATATTAATATTACTATTGATTTTTAACAACTTTGTTTATACGTTTCGCGTTCATATCTGTTTGGTCCACCACAGATCTATGGGTTTTGGTACTAACCATCTTTTAGTGGTCAGTAGGAAAAGATTAGTTTAGGTAACGAATTTCATTTGTTGATGATTCGATGCAAAAGTCGTTAGTCAACTGACAAATGATTCGTTCTGTAGCATCGACGTGTCCAAGGGCTTTGAATATTGGACGTGAGGTTTGAAAACCTTCGACAGATATCTCACAGCATTGTTCAGTACTCTTCAAGTCTTGCTCAAACATGACTATCAGGTCATCCTGTGTCTGGACAGCATGTAGCTCGACGTCACTCACTGTGTGTGTATCAGTTCTTCTGTGACCAAT